GGAACAGATGCTTAAGGCTGAGCCTCAAGGAGAGCAAGCTCAAATGCGTGTTCTCCAAATGTCTTGGTATGTGCCTTCAGATTATCATTTGGTCACAGATAACTAAGTCATAGAAATACAGTTGGTTTGTCATAAATATATGTAACATCCAGAGTTGTTTCAGTCCATAGAATATTTGCTGCTCAAACCTTAGAACACGAGATTGACCCCTATTATTCATATGAGGAACTCAGATGAAATGAGTGAGCACGGCCTTTAGTCTCAGCCTTAGAGACAGAGACAGGCAGATCTCTGTGAGTTCAGTGCCAGCCTGCGGTAGATATTGAGTTCCACACTTAACAGGGCAGTAGATATTGAGTTCCACACTTGGTGATTCTAACCCCAGTTCTGAGAAGGTGAAGACAGGTAGATGGCTAGCACTCACTGGTCATACAACCTAGTCTCCTTGGCACACCAGAAGCCAGTGAGAGACCCTGACTCAAAAACTAAGATGGTGAGACTTGAGGGTTTTCTCTCACCTCCTCCAACATGGGAACAAATGAACACACATATGCACAGACACACACTCACACAAAGTTACACTGACACATCCACATGTGCACACACTGAATACATAAAACATTATGGCATAAAGAATATCATTTTATCTGTAAGATTACAGCTCAGTGCAGGGCAGAATAGAATAATTTGCTCTACAAATATCAGTACAATTAATTTCCAGAAGCTTTACTAACTGGAAACTCTAAAATCATGACACCTCTCTCTCTCTCTCTCTCTCTCTCTCTCTCTCTCTCTCTCTCTCTCTTCCCCCACCCCAAGCCCTGACAGCTGCTATTTGTCATTACGTCAAATCAAAATGGCAGCTATAGACTGTGACTTACTACTGTCAAGAGCCATTGCTGGGCATGGTGGCACATGCCTGTAATCTCAGGACTTGGGATGCAGAGGCAGGCAGATTTCTGTGACTTCAAGACCAGCCTTGGATTTCAGGACAACCAGGGCTATAGTGAGACCCTGTCCCCTAAAAAGAACAAATGAAAAAAACAAGATCCACAGAGCAATGTCATGGTCAACAGTGAAGTACATAGAGTCCCACAGGTCCTATAGGACCATGTGATGGGAGGGGACAGTAATGGCCAGACAGTAACAGGGCTGGTTCTCCAGGTCTCAGGGATCAGAAGATGGGGCAGCCACATCATGAACATGGGGACATTATTACTGAAGAGCCTGTGGTCTTAGGTGAGAGGTGAGAGCACTGAAGGAGACAGGGGGGTAGGGAAACAGAGAGGAGACAAGGCAGTGGTAGGGAGAGATGACCGGTGTGTCCTGGGGAGCTAGGAGGGAAAATGAGGGACTGTGGTGACAGCTGGCAGTTTACAGTTGGCCCATGAGACATCAAGAAGATCCAATGGCATCTGTCTGTTCTGTGCTTAGGTTGGAGCTGTGTGGAGAAGCTGCATACAGGGACCAATAGGAGCCCTGCCACAGGACCAAGAGAGTCCAGCTACATCCGGAGAAGTTCATCCACCTTGGGGTAATAGGATGAAAGTGAGCAGGACTGTAATGTTAGAACAATCAGGGTGTGAGCTATGGAGTAAGGCACATCCTGAAGCCCAGAGTGGGCCGTGGTTCTGTCAGAGCAGAGACCACAGCAGAGGAAGCAGCAAACACTTGGCACAACTACAAGGAAAGATACTGTTGGCAGAGGTGTGGGCAGGGCCAAGGAGAGGACTATGAAACAAAGTTCAAAGTTGTGGGGTCTGAGGTAACATCGAGGGGACTAAGAAGCCACAGGTATTGAAGCCTGAGCCAGAATAGCTCACCATGGAGGATAGTGAGTTGGGTCCCAACAATTGACTGCCAACTCTGCATGCCTTCTGTTGTGCTCAGCCAGACTTTACAGAAGTATGTGGCCTGGTCAGTCTCCTTCAAGTTGAGGATTCTGAGGACTCCGGATGTCCGACCCTCTGTCCAGTTCAGGCTGAGCCGGTCCTTGAAGTGCTCATGTATGAAACGCAGGGAGGAGTTGTAGATGAAGTCTCCATGGAAGTGCTTCCATCTCCAGGCTATGCTCATCTGTGGACCCTTGGCCAACTCCCAGGGGAAGTAGAAGGAGAAGGGGATCTCGATGGAGCCGCCCTGGACTCCAGAGAGGAGAACTGGTTGGTCGATCCCATAGTCATTTTCTCTGTTGTATGCTACTGAGTTTCCTGAGAAGAGTGAGAACAATCTGAAGCCACTGCATGGATGGAAAGGACATCCCAGAGCATCCTGGACCATCATCCATAGGCAGGGGTGAGACACAGGACAGGATTGTCCCTATGGCTGGTGGGACAGGAAAGTGAGGGAAGGGTTGGGTTGGCTACCTCTGTGATATTAGTTCTCTCTTCAGGCAGAGAGGCCTGGCTGGCTCCTCTAGCAGACAACTGTCCATGTGACAGCCCACTCTTCCCAGCCCCACTGTCCCCTCCTGTAGTTAAGTCCCTGCTAGTGAGGTCCCCACCACTCACCAGCATGCAGACATGCTGCTGACAGCAGAAGCAGGATATGAGCCATGGCCAGAGTCCCTCCAGGAAATGAGACCAGCAGAACCATAAGGCAAGAGAGGAGACACTGGAGGGATCCTGAGGTGCTTTTGAGTCAAGAGAGTCAGGATAGATTGACAACATCCCCCAGGGCCTCCTCATTTGGAGGGCTGAATGAGTACATTACCTCCCCATCTCCACCTCCTTGTGGCCAGCAACTTCCTTTAACATTCTGGTTTCTTCTTTCTCATGTTGCAGATCCTACCTTGTGGTCACTGACAAGATGGCGGGCCCCTCTTGAGCCCAGCCCCCTTTTTCATCAGTGATTTATGGCCTTGCCATGCCCTGCCCTCCTCTCTTTCACTTTGACCTCCTCTCTGCCCAGTTCTCTCTCTCTCTCTCTCTCTCTCTCTCTCTCTCTCTCTCTCTCTCTCTCTCTCTCTCTCTCTCTCTTTCTCTCTCTCCCTTGCTGTCCCCCTGTCTCTCCCTCCTTATCTCTACCATCCCTCCCCTCTCTCTTACCCTATCTTGCTGGTTCTCTGTGGCTCAGGCTCACTTTCAACCCAAGGAAGAGGCTATCTGGATATTACCCTTTCAGGAAGAAAAAAGCTGACATAAGTCTTTGACAAGCTGAGCCCCATGCTCAGATGAGAGATGCTAACAAGCAGGTTCCAGAGTGGAAGAATGGACGCTTCCTCAGCCCCCAAGTCTAGAACTGGGTCCCTTCTTCTGCTCTTTGCCATATTCCTGTTCTTCAGTGACCCCTCATAGTTCTCAGGCTGAACCAAGGCCTGGTGGACCCTCAGTGGCTTAGCATACTCCCTGCTGACCAGTTCACAATGTCCCTAGGCTTCCTAGGTGACAGTGATCCTCACCTAGACAGTGATTCTAAAGTGTATCCTGTTTCTGTAAGAGCCTTTCTGTACTCACACCAACAGAGCAAGCCCTGGCTCACACCATGCAGCATCAGATGGCAGGTCTGAGGGAACTCCAGTTTGACTAAGTCCTTGTAGGCTTTGTGTCATCACAGATATGCACCTGCCTGCAAGATATCACTCAGCCTTACCTCAAGTCCAGGACTGGAGATGACTCCCTCTAGCTGTGGCCATTCCAGAAACTTCTTTGGACTAAGAGGACAAAGAGAACTCAGAGCAGCCATGTGTCACTCACAACATATTACTTGAAACATTTCTGAGAGAGGACACAGCCTGACTGTAACTGGGGTAGAGAACTGAGAACTGGGGAGCAGAGACTCTAGTGGGCTCAGGGATAGTTCTATAAGAGAGCCACCCTACCCTTCCTATGATGAGGTGTCACCACCTTGTTGAGGGGCAGGAAGACATGATTGTGTCAGAGGAAGTGGCATCATTCTTCCTGAGTGACGTACTGAGGCAACTTCCCATTTCCTTAGCTTTCCTGGCATTGTCTGCCTTGTTCATGCTTCCCTGCAGCTGGATAGGCAGCCTGCCCTCATATCTGCCATCACCATAGTCCCCATGGTCCCCAGATCCCTTAACCCTCGCCAGGCTCTGAACTCCTGTGACTTCTCTCTTAGCTCTACATGTTCCGCTGACAGACTAAGTCCATTGTACTCTGAGAACCCAAAAGCACAGAATCTGTGGGATAAATTAGTTTGGATGGAAAGTTCAATTAGAAGAGGGGGCAGGTGAAACATTTCCTTTGCCAGTAGTGTTGGTATCCAGAGCCAGCTTGGCAAACTGGCTCCAAACTCAGGAATGTCACACATAGGTGACATCTGTTGCTGTGACAACCTTGCATATCTTCTTAGTGCCCATTCCTCACACTCACCTGGGAACCACCTATGTCACAGCCTAGATAAAAGGCAAACTGTTCCCACCTCCTAGTTCAGGGATAGCCATGTCTAGGTTCCATCTAGCTTTCCCCTACCATCTATAGCCTTTGAGAAGAAAGTTGCCCAATTGCCAAGTCATAGCAATGCAAGCATACAGGGGTGCCATGGGCCAGACGCTGGTCCTTAGGAACCATTACAGGGCAGGAACCATTACAGGGCATTACATCTACTCTTGGGCTCTGACCTCACTGCTGCTACCATCTGTCTCCTTAAACTTAAGCATCATACTTTTCTTTTCCTTTCAGTGCCCTGAACCAAGTTTAATCCCCAAAAGGATCTCCTGGGGTGTGGCTTCTCTCAGAGACATTGAGTACTTAGCTTCCTTAATTGTTAATGATATTTCCCCAACTCAAAAGACAAGGCCTGGGAGTCACCTGCAGCCAAGCTACTGTTATGGGGGAGGAGAGACATTTTGGAACACAAAGGCCTGGGATTTTAAAGATCAAAGACAGGGACACCTAAAGGAATAGCACCTGCTCCCTAGGTGTCCTGAGGCCATTCTTAGCCTTTCTGCCCACACCAGAACAGCCTTGTCCTCAAAACGGATCATTAATCCACTCACTGTTCTCTTCCCATACTGACTTACACAGTCTTTTCTAACTGGAGCATCACAGGAGCCTCGTAGTGTGCCATTGTCCCTTACTTTCCCCCCTCCCCCAAACCAGCACCCTTGGCTTTCTCACCACAAGACTCAAAGTAGTGGTTTTGGGGGGGATGTGAACCTTGTCATGTCCTTGTTTTGCTTATAAAAAAAACAAAAAACAAAAACAAACAAACAAACAAAAACACAAAGGACTTGCTGCAAAGCCAGATGCCCTGTGTTCATTTTCAAGGACTGACTCCCTAAAGCATCATAGCATGCACAGGTACACACAAAAGCTTGTGAAGCCACACAGAATAAAAATAAATACATGTGGGGACAGAGATAGCAAAGAGGTCATGAGTTTGTATTGCTCTTGGAGAGCCCTGGAGCATTGGCATATTTGTTTTTACTATTTTATTGAGTTCTTCTACCTCAACCTCCCTCTACCCTTCCTTATTCCACCCTGATCTTTTCAAACCCCAATTCTAGGTAGGAGAGATAGAAGGTTAGAGTGGAAAGGGGACATGAACCTCTATAGGCTATTTCCTGCTGTTTGGGGTCATCTGGTTCCTTGGGGCAAGTTCAGTCTTCCTCGCTGATGTGTTTAGTAATGTGGCAGCATGGTGTGGCAGGAGGGGGTGTCTTGGCAGGCCCATGCTGAAGCATCCCCCTGAGATACAGGCGTAAGACAGGTTTAATATAAAATGAAGTTTATTTGGGGTATGTGTTAGACGTCCGTGTGCAGCTTAGAACAGACAACACCAAACCAAACGGTTCCGGGGGTGGGGGTGGGGTTATTCAGGGAAGAGGGCAAAGGTGGGGGGGAGAGAAATAGGAGAAGATGGTGGAGGAAAAGGGGCGAGGTCAGGGAGTTCTGCCTGTTTTATATGGGTGGTGACGTAGCCTCTCCCAGGTAAAGGTGAGGTAGCCAGGTAGATTCAGGGAGTGTATGGTGGTTGCCTTGGAAACGATGTGGGGGTTGCCTAGATGTGATGACACTGGGTTCGAGCCTGATACCAACATACCTCCCTTTTTCTTATTATAAAGAGAAGAAAAAAGCGGGAGGGGAAGCCAGTGGTTGAAAGGGGAGTTAGGGTGTCGTGTCTCTTAAACTACTTCCTGTTGTGTAGAGGCATAGTCCGTTGTGGGAAGTAGGTGGCTTTCACCATCGGGGTCCACTAGGTAGATGTGTGTATCAGGTTCTTCTGTGGACAGTGGCTGGTAATCCTGTAATAGGAACTGATTAATAAATTGGTTAGAAATAATAACAGCAGGAGGATGACTAAAAAGGGTGTTACAAAAGAGAATATCTGCTTTTAAATATTTTTGTTTTTTTGTTTTTTTTTTAAATCTCAGAACTGGAGGTCTCATGTTCCCTAAAAATGCCATTCTTCTTGGAGGAACTGGTGAAGACAGACCCAACCCGCGGGTTCAGTTATTCGTGGGGGTCAAGGGGGACCTCACCTGAAAAGGAACATGGGTGAAAGGACGAGACCAAGCAAGTGTCACCTTGTCAAGGTCTGCTTTAATGTGGAAGCGGCTTACAAGATATACTCTAGGCAAGGGAGGAAGGGGAACAAAGAACAGGATGGGGACTCTATCAACTATAGATAGATAAGGTCAGTCATCCGGAGGAGCATTCTGCAGTTTTTCCTGGAATGTCCGGGGCAACAGTTCTCTAAGAACAGGAAATTCTTTCTTAGCTGAAGGTCAGATTCTCCCAAAAGAGACAGTTTCTCATAAAGGCAATTCATTAAGCAACTTTTGTTAGCTGGGATGGAGTCCCCAACAGAAGACCATCTTCTTTAGTTGTCAGGACATCTGGCTCCTGTCAGTTCTGAAGTACCACAGCTGGAATCCCGTGGGTCTTGTATGTAGAAATGAGTGTTTTGTGGTGTTGGTAGAAGAAATGGTTGGTCCGTGATCCTAGCATATGTATCTGACAAGACCGATATGGGCAGCCCCCATAATCGTCTGGCCAGTTTCTACAATAATCTTCTATCTGGGCAAAGAGAAAGCAAGTGTAGAAGAACATAATATTTAGATGGGATAACAGATAGAGGAATGATGGCAATTTGGATTGGTTCTTGGCATCCGGCTATGGAATGGTTTCCTGACCCTGTTTGGAAAGACTGTTTGCTATCTGTGGGGGTCTCTTGAACCTCAAACCTCTAGATGTAAGGGCTGACCTGGATAGAAACAAGCAGCAGGACGAGAAACCCATGTCTAGTCCAGTGAGGTCGAGCTCGGCTACCAGAGTAGAGTCTCATTTTGGGGGATTGAGGACAAGGTGGGTGATTTCAATGTCCTCTGGAGCTTAATAGAGCACAGTCCTGTTAGGGTCGACGTGTATGAAGAAGAGTCAATTTTAGATGGAGGGATGAAAGGCTTGAGGTGAGACAAGTGAACCCAATGAGGGAGTCCTTCAAGTTTAGCCAAGAGGGGTGAGGGCTGATGATCTGGAGTGGAGAGAAGGACTTGGTCTCCAATGTTGACAGGTAGTGGACAGGAGACAGTGTGTGGTTAACGTAGATAGTGGTCAGTAAAGGGGTGGTAGGAAATATGAAAGTGCCAGGGGATGTCTAGGGTCTTAGATAGAATTTGAGAAACTTGGGAAGTAAATTCAGGACCA